GTAATAGGACAGGTACACACTCCGTTCAAATCATCGGCAGATCCATCGGCCGACATAATACAATCTGTTCCGAATCCACATGGTCTGGTTAGTGCTTCGTGGCTGTCCCTCAAACACGAGTCCCCATCCGAGAGAGGACAGACTGGACAACAGCCACACACGTCTAAGACCATGTCCACGCCACATATGACGTCATCTTCTGGTTCTGGAAAAAAAAGAGTTTTTGGAATTTGAAACTGTGATTAAATGAAGTAAACTACCACCTGGCGCTAACAAATGCAGTCACCGTGCGTTTTCACCTATTTCAGCTCAAAACCAGAAATATGAAACTTTATTGCATCAATTTTTCTATAACTATTCTTTTTTCTTCAAAAAGGTGATCGTCAAAACATCGACTTTGTGCTGCTTTGCAATCTTGAGTTTTTTCAGAGAAGTAAACAGATCTTAGTATCGAAATTATTGCCTAACTGCAGTTAATTTACCGTCATTATTTTTACTGTTGCGATTTTTTAAAAATATATTTTAAAACTCTTTCACGAAGCGCTTTAAAATTTTCAAAATCAGAGCAACCTAAACAACTTAAATGTTCTATCGATATGACTTCTGATTTTGATTAAAGAGATCATTCTTCAAAAAAAAATTACAAAGCATGCTTAACTTATTCACGATTCAAATCCTTACTTTTTATGCATCATCAGTAACTTCCGACAACGTATACAAACTACTAACTTCTGAGGAAACAAAACAAAACTACACGTTTTGTCCGACGTGCAAAACCGAGTTTCAAAAAGCGGCGGCAACATGCATGGCGTGTTCATCTTTTATCGTCACAGTGTCGAAGAATGAAGAATCCGTTATTTCACGACTTACAACCGACCGTATATGGCAATATCCTTTTCTTACAAATGTTGCTTATGGTAACGGTTCTAGGCATTGTTTCGTAGATAATAAAAAACATTGCAATGACAACCAAACTTCGGTGAAGTTACGTAATCCGCTGTTTATGGCTTCAGATCCATGTTTTGTTTCAACGAAATCCGACTTCTCGAAATTTGATCAAATCAAATGCACATCACATGTTAACTTTGTTTGCATGCCACAAGAAAACAAAACAGAAACAGCCGAATCATGTAGTGTAGCTGAATACTGTAAAGGTATTTTGAAGTTAAGTTTGCACTAGTAAAACTATTATAGGTAACCCAAACAATTAAAGTCTGCGAATGGAAATGTTAATGATCTTATTGAACTAATCAAAAAATGAAAATTTTACTGGAAATAGGACGAACTTGCATCAAATAAAAGACAGTTTCCACAGGGCTCTGATGTTGAGCGCTGTTTTTTTTCTATGATTCTTGAATGACTTTCATCGAAAATCATTGTTAAACTTTGTGTAGATGAAAATTGCATCGATGCCTCGTTCGATGGCCAGTGCAGTTTACTCAACGGAGCCCTGCAGAATGGACGCAACTACGCGAAGGAGAGGATCATCAATGGAGTGCCAACTACGATAGAACAAAACCCGTGGATGGTCCGATTTCAGGTCAGAACCTAATCAAAAACTAAATCAAAAAAGGTCTCCCCAAATAGAACTCCCCCGAAAAATTAGTAAAAAAAACACAGAATGTGTGCTAAATTAAGAAAGAATATATCCAACTTGGAAATAAAAAAATAATTGTTGAACTCGGAAGGAAAAGAATTTGTTCAGGCGTCGTATCAAAATGAGGACAATGAGATCTGCAGTGGGGCTATTCTGACGCCACATGCCATCCTCACTGCCAGACATTGTGTGGACTTCCAGAGACAGAAGCTGGAGATATACTACGGGGAGGCCAAACTAGACGAACAAATAAGGGAGGAGCTTACACACAATAATAATATTATCGACTGTATTTTCAAGCCAAGCCTTGTATGAAATTTTACGTTTGCTCTTTAACGTTTACTGCTTAGTTCGTCTCAAGAGAATCCCAAAAAGGCACCCGCCTGTTGGGTGACATCTCAATGAGCAAAAACTGTTAGCTCAAACTATTCGCAGAAAGAACATTTTATTTAAGTAAATGAAGACAATTTAGTAAATTACAAATTACAACACGTACACATAGCAAAAAAAATAATTGAACAATCAAAAAAAAATTAAAAAGTTTTGTTTTGCGTTACCGAATGAGGCTTGACTTTTATTTGCTTCATGCTCTGCGACCGGCTTTCCTAGTCAAAGTTTTGTCGAATTTAGGAAATCATGTTGTTTCGCAAAATCATCTGGTCTATGTTAGGGTTAAGTCTACCGAACTAATGAAAGTAATTTTATTTTTTGGCATTTCAATAGAATATATTTGAAAGCCTATAACAATAAGCACCAAATTGTAATCAAACTAAGCTTCGCCCTGCTGTAATACCAGACATCGCTTTAATCCTGCCCGCGCTCAGACCATCACAAACTCCAAGCTGTACAAGATGTCCAATCAGGACGTGGCAGTGGTGATTGTACCCGAGCCAATCTACAACAAAACTACAAAACAGGTGGCCCCTGTGAGAAGGCAGAGTGGGAATAAAGTACCCGAGAAGGGGGAGAGTGCACGTGTGGCAGGGTGGGGCGCTACTTGTGTGAAGGGTAAGACTGTTATTTTTTTAAGGAAAACGACGATTTAGCTTTTTTCAAGCCGACATTTGTTGGATGAAAAACCGGAGAAACGTAACTGTTAGACAATTTTTTTCTCATTTCCAGCAATAACTTTCGTTAGCGCAGCTGAACAATCTTATATAATAAATGTAACTCCGAATGCGCTATGGACGCAATGTTTAACTGAACGCAATGTTTTAGCTTTGTCAAATGCAACGTTTAAAAAAATTTTAAGGCTTAACGTTTAAGAAAAGGCCAAGAATGTTCTAGAACTTTCAAATTTTCTTAAGTCTGGAATATTCTAGAATTGTTTTTGACAAAAATTCAATTCTGTAGACAAGATCAACTCAATGCAGTTTCAAGGCTAGACAGTGACTGTCCATTTTTTCCCGAAATTTGCGTTCTTAGCTTGATTTTTTCTGAAACGAACCAACTAAAAACAGCAAACTCCTTGCTAGAAAAACTAGCCATTTTCAAAGTGCCATCGCTTGCATAGCTTGTTTAGAAAAACATAAATTTTTCGCCAATCGATCTGCTCTGTGAAAACTTGAGATAATTCAAAGTTTCATTGCCTCAATAGCTTGCTTAGAACACTTAAGTTTTTCGCCAACCGATTTGCCTCTTGAAATAATTTGAAAATTTCATAAGTTTCATCGCATGATTCGTGTGCTCAAAAAACGTTTAAAAAATTCGAGTTATCTC